CCCAAACTTTGGCTGCCTTTTGTGCTGATTCACCAAAAAGTATCTATTGATTGTTTGTATATTCCCTTTTGGATGTAAACGAGTGTCACACTAATTGAAGTGACACTCGAATTCGATGTTGAAATATGGTCGAAGAGTGGTTGATTGGATTTGATTGGCTACTTGATTCTTGATCTGGGTTTTGATTGGTCGTATATCGATTGTCTGCCTGCGATTTCGGTATTCTGCTCATTTGATTCCCCATATCTCCAATTTCTTTCGAATATCGAGACAATAATATGCAGTTGTTGTTATTGTCGATTTGATACAAATTTGAGGAGGGGGTGCGATCGAATCGCGCCGACCAAACCGATCCACAATCGATCTGATTGGTTGAATTTCATTGGGAAGGTTTTGATTGGCTAATCATTTTGAGCTCATCTGAGGTAGCCAATCAAATCGATTTAAATTCCAACGAGAAACCACGCCACAACACGAAATTTTACTCGAAAGCACAATAGTTGTCCATTTCTTTCCCCGTTATTCAAAGCTTGGAACTTAGGCCACGTGGCATCCACGTCGTTGGACTCGCCCAAATCGGACGACAAACCAGACGTAGGATTCAATCCTCACGCTGGCATGGCGGGCAAAATGGCGCGTCCGTCGGCGGCCGCCCTCGGACTTGTGCTGCTCATAACCGTATGCGCCTACTTCCCCATCAAGAAACCGTCCGCCCCGGCTCGCGCCAACGCCGTGGACGTGTACTGGGGTCTCGCTTACCTTTTGTCGCCGATGTTTCTTGTGTGGCTCGTTGTGCATACCCGTGAAACAATCCATGTACGTACTGTACGTTGTTGTCCTCGTCTGTGAAAAAGATATATTGTGTATTCGATATTGCCGATTTGATACAAATTTGGGGACGGGGTGCAATCGAATCGCGCCGACCAAACCGATCCACAATCGATCTGATTGGTTGAATTTCATTGAGAAGGTTTTGATTGGCTAATAATTTTGAGGTCATCTGAGGTGGCCAATCAAATCGATTTAAATTCCAACGAGAAACCACGCCACAACACGAAATTTCACTCGACGAAAGCACAATATAACCCTTCCAAAATTCGCATGGTTGGTCGAATCAATACAGTATGGAATCACGCTGGAGTTCTGATTGGTTGAAAATATACTTGTCCATTCTGTAAGAGCCAATCAAATCCACTCAAAGTTGGATTAGCCAATAATAGCATCGATTCGTGATTCGATTCGGCGGGGTCTGGAAATTTATACAGAATCCACAATATAAAAAAAAAACAATTCAAATTATTTTTGTCATATAGTTTGTTTTGGCCAAAAACAAGAATATACATGTTGCCATATGTTGTATGTGCGGCCAACAGTGGAATACTTGTGCTGATGCACCAACTCCATTGGTCGAAATTTTGTTGTACTGATTCATGAATGTGAACTATTTGTGAAGCCATGCACACTATTTAAAGACATACCTTCGTTCGATGGTTGAAGCAAGCATTTGATTGGTCACTTGAATATTGTGCTGGGTTTTTTAAGTGTCCCCCATGCCAATTTCGAATCGGCTAGACTATATATATATATATATATAATTGATTTGGTACGACTTTCCGGACCCTGTGCAATCGCATCATCACCCCGACCAAACCGATCACGAGTCGCTGCTATATTGGTCATGCTGAAGATGCTTATCGTTGATTGGGTACATTCTTTTTTCTTCGAGCTGTCAGCCGAATATAGGAAATGAAATTAATATAGCGGCGAGATTTGCGACTGGTTGTAAACTTCCAAAATTCGCCTGGTTTGTCGAATCAATATTGAATCACGCCGGAGTTCTGATTGGTTGAATATACTTGTCCTGTCTGCAAGAGCCAATCAAATCCACTAAAAAATGGATTAGCCAATAATAGCGTCGATTCGTGATTCGATTCCGCGGCTAGATTCGATTCGACGGGGTCTGGAAATTCGTATCGAATCCACAATATTTGAATCTCTATTTATTTGAATCGCGCAAAATTGTATATATATATATATATACCTAGGGCGGCGAATTCAATCTGGTGGTGCTGTTCACGGTTGTGCTCACCCATGTGCCTCTATTTGTCGGCCACTTGAGTCTGGCGCTGTTTTCCGTGGTGGATCACCATCCCACGCCCGTAGCCAAGCTCGCCATCTCATGCCTCTTCCTCGGGCTTATGCAGCTGTACTTTTACGTCGTGACCAAAGTCATCCAGGGCTTTGCGCCACCTTATACCCACCCGTCGCTGCTGTACGTGGGCCAGCTCTACTTTTACGTGTTCTGGTACCTGCTCGTGGGCTCGGACGGCCCCATCGACGTCGTGTACTTTGCCATGCTCGCCCTAAGTAACCTGCATGTGGTTATGGCCAACACGGGAATATACACAGACACGGTGCACACGTTGTCTGTGTCGTGCTGGCAGCACCCGACGACCCAATTCGCATCGGTATGGTGTTTGAGTATTGTGAATTCGCTACAAACTTGCGCCTGGTTTTTTGTCTAATCAATATTGAATCACGCTGGAGTTCTGATTGGTTGAATATACTTGTCCTTTCGAGCCAATCAAAGCCACTCAAAAATGGATTAGCCAATAGCGTCGATTCGTGATTCGATTCAGCGGCTAGATTCGATTCGACGGGGTCTGGAAATTCGTATCGAATATACCACAATATTTTTATTTATTTACTTTATGAAACGGTCTATTTAAACTGGTGTCGTTGCAACGAACATGGTACATATGTATATTGTCGGATCAGCCAAAATGTGGCGTTTCCTTGCGCTGATTTGCCAAATCCATCTCGATCGATGTTTTGTACTGAAAAATGTAAACAGTTGTCTTTGACGTGGGTGGTCTTATTACCCTACTTTATATCACACACGAATTAGTCGTTGATTGGTTGACCCGATGAGGTCCTGAAATGTGATTGGCTCAATAATATGGATCAAGATCACGTTTGTTGCTTGTATAGAATGTTACGAAATTGAACGGAAATAATCCACAATGGATTCTGCATTGAAAGCGTGGCCCTTGTTATATACTAGTATACAGTATATATTGTCCTTTCAACCAAAATTTGGAGTTTGGATCCGCCGAATCCGTCGATCGAGTTTTTTGTACTGAAGTTTGTATGTGAAAAGTGTCGCCTTTCACGCGAATTTCAATCATACACTAATTAATACTCGTTGAAGAGAGAGTAGCTTGATTGGCTACTTGATTCGTGTTCTGGGTTTTGATTGGTCGATCCATTGGCTGCTGATTTAATGCTGCTCATTCGATTGAACACCCCACTCGAATTTCGAATCGACATGACAATATATATATATTGATCGTTGGAGCAGGACGCGGCCAACAAGAATATAGTTGCGTTGAATATATATATATATATATATATATATATATGTATATGGCGAACCCATCGTGAGCTTGTAGCTGTGCGCGGGCTCGTCCGTGCAAGTGTGTTTTCGAGCGATTCAGCCGCCCAGACTCGCCACAACCCCCATGGCGTCGTCGCCGTCGTTGTTTTCCACCGAAGGAGACGTTTCTAACGACTCGGTGAGGGTTTAAAACGTCAATATATATATATATCAATATGTATATATATAAAAAACGCGTTTTCTAGGTCGTCCATCGACGGAGCTTGGCGTATGAAAACGTGATCGATCCTCAGCATGGTCATTTGAGCGTACTCTCAAGAGGAGATGCCTCCATGGAGCTCCAGCAGCTGTACTTTCTCATGAAGTTGGCCGAACAAGATCACATGGCGGACACGAGCGCGCTGATTTTAGTGCCGTCTTTGCTCACTTGGCTCGCTTGGATGGAAGCAAAGGAGGTATTTCTATATAGTCGGGGTTATATATATATATATATATGTTTTGTGTCGGGTCGACATTTGTAAAATATGGTGATGCTATTAGATATATGTATATACATACCCATTTATATATATAATAGCATCCGCCATATGTATAAATACATACAAATTATATGTATATATATAATCTCTGTGTGTGTGTTGACTTTCGCCATCACGATAGTATATTTTAATGGTGTCAACGGTAGAGGCGTGTAGTGTACTACTATCGTTTGCTCTACTGTATAGTCTATACTAGTTTCTATAGATATGGATATATAAGTACTAGTATATATACATATATACATCTGTGTAGGGTTTCAATGTGCTCTACCATGATAGTGTTAACCGACTCCAACAGAACTGGTCTAATTCGTATAGTGTTTGTACTACTGTGCTTTGCACTACTAAATAGTCTGACTAATTGCTATTAGATATATATATATATGTATTTCTACGTGGTCTATCACAATAGTATCTTTAATAATATCAACATATATCTCTAGACGCCGATGACAGCAAGCTTGCTCAACATGTGGCTGCGTTGCGTGCTCATGTTTGGGGCGCGGGTGGCAGGGTCGTTTTTGTCGCGCGAGATCTTTGCTTACAAGATGCAGAAACGGCATCCCACATTGAACAGTGCCAACGCCGTGGACCGCCTGCGGGTGCAGCGCATCATGCTTGGGGACTTCCGAAGGCAGTTCTGGTACCTCGCAGCGGCGACCACCGTCGTAGTGTTTGGATGCTTTGACAAGGCTGGATGGCCCTCTAGATATGCGTTTTACACGACGCCCTAACATATTCAAAACAAAGCCATAACATATTCAATACAGAGCTTTTAGTATAGTATTCTTGTGTCCTGTCAACCAATCATGTGGAGTTTGGGGTTGAACCGCCGAATCCATCGATCAATTGTTTGTATACTGAATTTTGTATGTGACGTTCATCCTAATTTCAATCGCACACTGATATTGTAGATGAGTGAGTTTGGTTTGCTGCTTGATTCATCTTCTGGGTTTTGATTGGTCGATCGATTGTCGTCGGCCTATGTGGTGCTGCTCAATCGATTGAGTCGAATTGACAATAACGTTAATACTAAATTACAATCGAACAACATTATATGCTCTACCTGTTGCGGTATCATAAGCTTAGACATATTTGAGGTTAGCTACAAATTGGATACTAGTACGTAGTATCAAGTGAAGGTAAACCGACAAAATATCCGTATGCCATCGATCAAACGGTTGATATTTTATCCAATCCCATGGCTTCACAGATGAAGGTTTATTCAGCTTGGAGCAAACCTTTTCATTCTTATATTTTATATTTTCTCTATTTATTATTATTGGAATCATCTTTATATATATATATATACTAGTATACAGTATATATATGAAAACTATCCAGAATTTCGGTAGCTAGCTCTTGGAGTAGTAGCTAGCCCTGCTACCAGTTTACTCACACCTACCTACACAAAACTCTGAACAACAATAATGGGGTCTACTATGATCAGGTCAACTGATCCGCACCTGGAACCGTTTCGCTTTTTGCGGATGCTCGGCCGACGGTTTCATCGAGATCTCGCTACTATTTTCGGCCTTGTTACCGTTACATAACCGCCACCCCCAGCGCTCTTCATTTTCCATTGCTCATCTCGTGGATGTCATCCAAGAAGGAATCCACTGGGACTTCGTCGTCGTCGCCCGTCAAGCCGGTGCTCATGGCCCTCGATCAACACACGTCGTCCATGGAGCTGCCGGCGTCCAACCTCCGCGTCGTGTACCTCAACCAGCCCCAGAAAAACGTTGGGTTCGCTGGGAACCAAGTGGTCACGGCCAAATACAACGTATGGACGTTTGTACCTGCATTTTGCTACGAACGGTTCACGCAGGTACACACGATACATGGGGATGAGGCTATTGCATCGATATATACTACTACCATACTAGTATCGCCGTGAACATATAGATAGTACTAGTACTATATGTTCTACTAGTTACGAGTACATATTATGACAACACTATTCGGATTGTGCTAACGTTTGTTGCTGCTCCCTTGTGTAGGTGTCCAACTTTTACTTTTTGCTCGTGGGAATTGGCCAAGTGATTCCCGCGATCACGTCGACGTTTGGGCTCCCGTATTCGTGGTCCGTGGATATCTCCAACATTCCAACATGATTCTGTATATTGACATTGGCCCTGTGGATGAATGAAAAAATATACATAGTATTGTGCTTTCGAGTGAAATTTCGTGTTGTGGTGTGGTTTCTCATGGGAAAATAAATCGATTTGATTGGCTACTTCAGATGAGCTCAAAATTATTAGCCAATCAAAACCTTCTCAATGAAATTCAATTGGTTTGGTCGGCGCGATTCGATTGCACACCCTCCCCAAATTTGTATCAAATCGACAATAGATTGATTGATTGCCTTTGATTGGGTGCTTGAAAATGATATGGACTGGACGATATTCAAATGATATAGTAGACGGATTGATTGTCCATTCATTGGATGCTTCAAATGGTATGGACCGATGATTGATTGCCATTCATTGGATGGTTGAAATGATATGGACTGGACGATATTCAAATGATATATAGTCTGATTGATGGTCCATTCATTGGGTACTTCTTCAAACGATATGGACACATTGGACACTGTTCAATTGATATGGATTACAGGCTCGTGTTGGGGTTGGTGCTGTTTGTGGATGCCATCTTCACGGGCGTCGAAGACTTCCATCGCCACGCGGCAGACGCAGTCATGAATGCCCGGGAAACAAGAGTGTTTGATCCAACTCTTCCCACTTCGTTCCGCCAAACTACGTGGAAAGACATTGTCGTGGGCGATGTGCTCCAAATCAAAAAATACGAAGCCGTGCCAGCCGACATGTTGCTGCTCGCTGTACGTCCCATCTCTCTCTTTTGAAGACTTGCAGCATGCTCATTCAAATACCCCCCCCTCCTCTTCTTCTACTACTTCTACACTCAATTTATGCCCACAACTACACTCAATGTATGCGCTTGTCAACGCGAATGTCCTTCTATCGTAATAACCGACGGATCGAATCCAATCGAATCGGTAGGTCCACGAAACCGACCCCTCGGCACCCGTGGGCATGTGCTTTATCGAAACCAAGTCGCTGGACGGAGAAACCAACCTCAAGATCCGCCAGGCGTTGCCGTGCACGTTTGCGCAGCTGCACGACCCAGCGTCGATCGGGCACCTTCCCGGTCGCGTCGCCTGCGAGCACCCGAACCACGACGTCAACAACTTTATGGGCCGGTTTGAACCAGGGGACGACGCGTCCGTGATTCCCCTCGACCTGAAGAACGTCGTCCTAAGGGGCTGCGTCATCCGCAACACGCCGTTTGTGTATGGTCTCGTGCTCAACACTGGTACGCATTTTAAACCACCCAGAGCAATCCTGCAACTCTTATGATCTTGAAAATGCTGGTGGCTTTGTTGGATCATGTATTGTTATAGATGATGCCATTATTGTCGACGTGTTGGACTTGATTCTGGTATATATATATATGTATTCGTCGGTGGGTGGCATTGCTGTTGCGGTTTGTCCTTTGTAGTGTCGGGGTATATATATATATATATATATATATATATATTCGTGGGTGAGTGGCATTGCTGTTGTTTTGGTTGTGTACTTTGTCGTGTCGGGGTGTATATAATATATATATATATTTACCATACTGGGGTGGCATTGCATCTGTTTTGGCCGTAAGCTTTCTAGTGACGGGGTGCAATTGTCCTATCGTTTTGTTTTTACTAGTCTGCTTTTGTGTACTTGTACTGGTACCCTTATTGGTCGTACATAAATTTCTCGCCTGAGAACGAGTGTATTATATATATATACATAGGCTCGGACACCAAGATCATGCAAGCGTCACACAAGACCCCCACCAAACTGAGCAAGGCAATTGAAATCATCAATCGTGGCAACGCCCTGCTCATGATGATCATGCTGCTGTTGTGTGTGCTGGGGGCGGTGTGGGACCAGGCGTGGGTCACGTCATCGTCGCCGTCGTACCTGGTGCTCGACGAGCCCAGCGTCCGCCTCGGGCTGAACGCGTTTAGGGGCGACGTGATGGGCATCTGCATTGCGTTTGGGTATTACTGGGTACTCATTTCTTCGTTTGTCCCTATCACGCTATACGTGTCGATTGCGATCGTCAAGAGCTACCAGTCGTACTTTATGAACCGCGACCTCGGTATAGGCATATATATATACACACACAAACACTCTCTATCTCTATCGCTTTCCCCTCGATACAACAACACAATTATATAACAACTTGTATGCATGTGTGTAGGCATGTACTACGCGCCGTCCGACACCCCCGCGGCCGTGCGCAATGCCGACTTGAACGACGAACTTGGCCAAATCACGCACATCTTTAGTGACAAAACCGGCACCCTCACCGCGAACGAAATGAGTTTTCGAAAAATGAGCATCAACGGCCGCAGTTACGGCCGCGGGTCCACCGATATCGGGCGCGCGACCGCCATGCGCACCGGCCGGATGGAATCGGTCACCGACTGCCAGGCATCGACGGGGGATGCCGCGCACCCCCCCCACGTCGAGTTTCTGGACCCCCACGGGTTGTTTGCCCGCGACCGGGCGACTCGAGACGGCCACGCCGATGCCATCGAAGCCTTCCTCACCCACTTGAGTGTGTGCCACTCGGTGGTTCTCGAACGAGACGATGCCACCAACACGACCAACTTTTCCGCGAGCTCCCCGGATGAGCTGGCACTCGTGGCGGGGGCGGCGTATTTTGGACACCAATTTACCGAACGGTCCAATGGTCGCGCTGTGGTGCACGTGCTTGGTAAAGGCGACGTCGAGTTTCAAATGCTCGAGCTGATCGAGTTCACGTCGACGAGGAAACGCATGTCCGTGGTCGTTCGAGCTCTGGACAACCGCATCCTGTTGCTCACCAAAGGCGCCGATTCGGTATGGTTGGTGGTTTGGATTGGATAGAACATGCATGCATGCCTGCCTACTGCGGTGTCAAAATGTGCGATACAGTACGACTGTTGGGGGTTTTGGTGTGTGTGTATCTTTTTCATTATTTTGTAACATGGTAGACCTGAGGTGTTTTATAAATGAAAATATTTATAATTATAGAAATGAATATTTATTTAAAAATCTTCAATAGAATTAATATATATTTAGAAAAAATAAGAAATCTATTTATATTGAGTATGACAGGCGTTTCAATGGATATTATGATATATTATTGATATGTTTGATCGTGTTTGTTTTTTAGTCAAGGGGATCTGACGGTTGTATTTTAAATATTATTCGTGAAAGAGATCCAAGTTTCGCGTTCGTTGATAGTAGTTGTAATTGTAGTATTACGTGGATGTATTCTTCGCGTGGATAGCAGCATACGTTGTATGGATGGATATGCATGGTACTTACTGGTGGTAGAGTTCCTTCTGTGATACATATACATATATATTAATTTTCTGTGGTGGCGTAGATTGTGTTTCCAAGACTCAAAGAAGACTGCAACGCGTATCTAAAGGAAAAGACGGTTGAACATATGGAAATGTACGCCGAGGAAGGGCTGCGGACGCTGGTGCTGGCGCAGCGAGAGCTAAACCAAGACTGGTACCATACTTGGTCTACCCAGTACAAGCAAGCGCTGTCCAATTTAGACGAAACGTCGCCTTCGTATAAGGTAGGGTTTTCTTCCGATTTATCAACAATTTTACAGATTTAGTTATACAATTTAGTGGTGGTTAACGAATACATATGACTAGTTGGACTTGCTGGTTGTGGAACGACTCGAAGACGAGATGGAGTGCGACCTGGAGCTGCTGGGTGCGACCGCCGTGGAGGATCGCCTGCAAAATGGCGTACCAGTGGCCATATCTAGTCTGATGCGGGCCGGGATTAAAGTTTGGGTATGTGAGGTTCCAATATATATATATATTCATAGTATACAATATATATATCTTTCCAATATCTCACACCGAACGACTATTTAACGCAATCGTTATATGTTATATATATATATATATTATATGTATATATATGTATGTATTTGCGGACTTTTTTAATGGCCTGATGTTTGTGTTGATATATATTGTGGATTTCGCCCAAATTTGGACTTGTGCGTCACTTGGCCAAATAATTAGCATTCAAATCATTTTGATCCAATTTAAGCTTGTACAAACTATACTATACAACTAATAGTACATACAGTACATATATATGGTTTTGCCCGATGCGGAGGGAGTGGACCGAGTCAAAACGTTTGGATTGGCAGAAATTCAACATAACATGATTTGATTGGCTTAGGCGGTTCTGTTAATCCATTCTCTTAAAGGATTCGATTCTGCGGAGAGTTTCGAATCTATTTGACAATGTATGTATATATATATATTAGGTGCTGACGGGAGACAAGGAAGAAACAGCCATTAACATTGCATTTGCATGCCAATTGATCACCAACGACATGGACCGGTTGGTGCTCAATATGGAGTTTTGTCAAAGCAACCCGGAGGTTCTGAAGAAGCTCATGCTGGACAAAGCCCATCGCACGCGCACGTCCACTATCAAACAGCGCAGTTCCAAGTCTCTGGAGCTGCCCAAGCAGGCGCTGGTCATCGATGGACCGGTGCTCACGATGGTGTACCACTATCCGCTGCTCAAGTTTTTGTTTTTGGAGCTCGCGCAGCAGTGCGCGGCGGTGATTTGTTGTCGCGTGTCCCCTAAGCAAAAGGCCGAGGTATCGAACGTTTAAAGATCATATTTGCCCATGTAACGTTATATTATTATTATTGTTTCCTTTGAACCAAAAGATGGACATTGGTGTGCAACTCCGCCATCGAGATGGTTTGAACGGAATATTTTTGTACCGAAAAAAGTGCGTCGACGGGCACACGAAGTTCAGCCAACAAAGTTGATGTGGAGGACGGAATTTGATTGGTCATTTTTTTCTGTGAGTTCTGGGTTTTGATTGGTTGATCGATTGTCTCCTGATTTGGGCTGTGCTCATATTGTTCGTTCAGCCAAACTTTGGCTTTATGTGCGTTGATTCGCCAAATCCATTGATCGATGGTTCTTACTGGATTTGCCTGTAAAAATGACCAGATTGATTTGTTATAAGTCACACACTAATTCGATGTTGAATGGTTGAATCGAGATTTTGATTGGCCACTTGATTCGAATTCTGGGTTTGGATTGGTCGATCGATTGTGGGCCGATTTGGTGCTGTGCTCATAATATTATTACCATACTTGCGTTATCGTGTCTTGTAGCTTGCTTCACCCCAGTCTGTTCGATAATGTGTTTTGAAGTCAATTGGTTGATATGATATCTGGAACTTGACGGTGGACTATGAGTTAGGTGGTGGCGCTGGTAAAAAACAACGTCAAGAACTGCCGGACGCTGAGCATCGGCGACGGCGCCAACGATGTCAGCATGATCCAGGAAGCGCATGTCGGCGTGGGCATCTCGGGCCACGAAGGCATGCAAGCCGTGAACGCATCGGATTTTGCGATCGCTCAATTCGCCTTTCTCCAGCGATTGCTTCTGGTCCACGGGCACTGGAACTACCGCCGCATGTCCAAGTTGGTGCTGTACGTTGTGTACAAGAACATTTTGTGCTGGTTTGCACTGTACGTGCTCAGTCTGTACGCGTGTGGCAGCGGTACGTCATCGTCAATATTACTTTTTGTATGTGTTGCTGCGCCACTTGCTTGGAAACGAATAAGTAAATATATTATTATTAATCGTTTTTTGTTGTTGGATTAGGCACGGTATACATGAACTACAACTGGCTGAACGGATACAATGTGTTTTGGACATTTTTGCCGATTATGATTTTGGCTATTATGGAGCAAGAAACGAGCGCCCCCACAGCTCAAGATCACCCCGGACTCTACCACAGTGGCCCCCAAGGCGATTTGCTCAGTGTCCAGATCTTTACCGAGTGGGTATTTGAAGCGCTTTACGAAGGGGTACTTATATATATTACAACAAATGAGGACCTATTGTATTCATGGTGATCTTTCCAGGTTGTGTGCGCGTTGGTGCCGGTGCTGTTGATGGGTTCAATTTCATCGTCTGGGTACGCCTACACCATGTACGACTGTGGCGGATTGTGCTACACTGCTCTGATTGTCGTGGGCTGGGTGAAGCTAGTGCTCAACGCCATGAGCTGGAACGCAGGTACATCCTCAAATCAAGTCGTTTTTAGTTTGTATTCCTTCAAGTGTTTATTGTGTGTTTTACTCAAAATTGCCATCCGCAGTTGGTTGACTGACATATGAACTGCCCAACAATCGCCACCCCTTCGAAATATGATATATGTATATATCGAAGTGTTAGAGGTATTATCTTTGTGAATCCTCATTCATTACATCCAATCACATTGCAACCTTCATTCGTTTTATATATTTACAGTTAATCATACTACTTTGCTCGATTTTTCGGTGATTTCAACAATCCCTCAAAATGTGCAAATTGGGGCGAAAAGGACAATAATACTTCGAAGTATTCGCTACAATAACACATCTCACCATGACGCATATATTTTGAACGCTATTATTGTAACGTAGGCATGCACTTTGCCATGTGGGCGACTGTGCCGTTTTGGATAGCCAGCGGCGTTGTGCTGAGCAATTCGTTTACAAGTGACAGCTCGGACCACGTGTTCCCGTACCTGTTGAGTTTGCCCGAGTTCTGGATGCTCCTGTTTCTGTGTGTGGTGCTGGCGCTCTTTCGCGACTTTGTGTACAAAGTGTGGAAGCGAGAGTGGGCCCCCGAGTACTACCACATTCTCCAAGAGTCGGACCGGTATAAACTCAAGGGCGACATCGAGTGGGACCCGCCGCTCCACGCGTCCAATTACAAACCGTTCCATGTCGACTTTAGCCATTACTTGACGTCGGAGCTGCATGCGCTACCAGGTAGCAGTCGACTGAATGCTGGCTTTGTCAAGTAGTATATGCACTGTTGTTGGTATATTGTGCATTGCCAATCTGTGGAGAAGATTGGCCAAATCAGTATGGTTGAACTCGTGCGTTTTTTCCCGTTATTTATACTGCACACCCTACCCCTATGTGTTGTTTGGGTGTGTTATTATTCACTAAATCGTTGGCCCGATTTAATATTTACTTGATTTATCATTCTCAAATTTTCGAATCCAAACCAACAACAATACTTCATGTCTTCTATAGATGCGCCTTGGCTCGAGTTGCAACAGCCCAAACATCGCGGGTTTGCTTTTTCGATCCAACCCAGCGAAAACCGCCACTTTAACCCGATGCGGAGCGTGGTGCTGGCGCCGCTCAAACGCGCGGTCGTACGGGTATTGAGCCCCCGGTCCGCGTCACAGGAAGAGACGGCCTTCTGGACCGCTCGAAAGAAGGACGGGTTTGTGTACGAGTACCAACGGTACGGAACTATGAGTTGTTGTCGAGTAGGTCATATGTTATTGTCCTTTTGCCCAAAATTTGGACTTGCGTGCGGATTCGTCAAATCCATCAATTGGTCAGTTCTTTGTGTACCGAGCTTTGTATGTAAAAAGGCGTCCTGTGGTGATTTTAATCCCACGAATTTTGGTCTCACACTCATTAGATGTTGATGCTGATTTCGTACAATCTGATTGTCTTCTGCCGATTCGACTGTGCCTTTCTTTATGTGGTTGTGTCGTCGATTCATTCTCCATGTCGCTGTGACAACAAGCTACATACCTAAATTTATCCAATCAAATCGCTTGGATGATTCGTATCAACCAATCACATACTAGTACATTTATACTACGTAGTGTATATATTCAAGAGTTCAAACGACGTTTTCTATCTAGAAACATATGTCGGCAACATAACATTCTTTGTTCAAAAGTTCACATGTCAGCCTCGTATGACGTTCGAGATTGTAGTTCAAACTTGAGATTTATATCTATGGTGGACAAGTCGTGTGTTGTAAAACGCGAGTGATTGTTGGCGCGTAGGTACCAAGTGTTTGTGGGGTGGAGCGCGCCGTTTGGGCTGACGGACCCGTGTCCGTTCGGTACGCGGGACATGCGGGAAGGGGGGTTCCAGAACCACGGCCACCACCTGTCACTGGACGACTGGGCTGTGGACACGACGTTGGGCGAAGCAAGCACCAAGCACTGGGAATATGCGACAAAGTTTCGCGACTTCAAAAAGGTCGATGTGTCCACGACACGATGGAAGAAACCCTCCGGCATGCAGCGCAAGATCAACAAAGTGGTCGGCCGGTGTGTGCGGCGGCGGCGCTGGGTGTTCAAGGGAATAATACATCGACTCGTCGACGATGTCGTTGAAGGACAATCGACCGACGCCCACCAGGATGCGATTGAGCAGGTCGCAAAGGAATTGCATCGCGAACAACTGGACGAGGAAGCGGCGATGGGCGTCCCAGGCATCCCACGGGTGGCACATGATGTAGTTGACGACGAAGATGATGATGCTCCACACGATGGCGATGTGACTCTCAGCAGTACGCTGGAGTAATTTGATACCAGTTGCACCATTTCGCGGTTAATTTCGAAAAATGTTTGGTATATTTCGTGGAATCTCCATTTAAATTCGTGGAGCTTCATGTTATTTCGCGACATCGGCATTTAATTTCGTGGGAACGTCGAATTTACTCATTATATTTCGTGGACTGCCAGTATATTTCGTGATTTGCTCAGATTCGCAAACATTTAATATATATTCGTGACGAGACCAATATATTTCGCACAAATGTTAACCCAATGGGTGTACCGGTATTTATGCAGGAGTGACGAGTGTAGGCTCCAACTAATTCGTCGTTCATGTTTTCGGCTCAGTGGTCGAGGTGGTGAGCGTTTTGATACAAACGGTTCACATCAACTCCTACGACAATCACCACTACTCTAAACTCTGTATACTCGGTGGTATCAGAAACATACCTTGAATGACTTGGTCAGCAATATGCTTCAGATATTGCATTCGGAATTCGTCGCGAATTGATGGTAGCTATGAATGCAGCGAGTGACTCACTAAGCAACGTCATCACACGGAGTTTCCTTGCTTACTACGGTTTCTCGATTGGATTCACCATGGACGAGTATGAACTACAAAATCGTCCCGATGTCAGCAAAGCGACTACCGTTATTTCTTTGCAAACATCGGGACGTTTCTGTACGTGGCTGACATTCGTCAGTTACTAGGTCAGTATGTATGTGCTTACTGGGGTTCAAGGTGATGGAGATTCATCGCCATTGGGGAGGATGAGGGGAAGGTCGGGAACCATGAGGAGGTGCTTCATCGAGAAGGCTTTTAAATTGCGCGAAAGACGGTTTCGCGCGCTGTTTTCTGACCAATCAGAGCAAGTTGAATTGAACATGCAAAATATACTGGTCTCGTGACGAAATATATTGGATGTTTGGGAATCTGAGCAAATCACGACTTATACTGGCAGTCCACGAAATATAATGAGTGAATTCGACGTTCCCACGGAACTAAATGCCGAGGTCGCGAAATATCATGAAGCTCCACGAATTTAAATGGTACTAGTATTCCACAAAATATACCAGATTTTTTTCGAAATTAACCGCAAAAAGGTGAAGTAACTTGTATTCTAAATAACACATCAGTAACTCGGGAGAATTTCCAAATCTCCACGCTCAGGCAACTTTTTCAACCTCCGAAACTTGGAGATTGTAGCTGAATTAATTCTTTACAACACATACCGATTTTATTGTGTTTTGCAGTCGTATTGCGTGAGAAAAACTAGCAAAATCAAGCAAATTTGATATAATTTTGAGAATCAATTTAAGACACATCTTGTTATCTTGATCAAAGTATGATCATTTGCTTATAAGTTTGGTGTTTAGGGTATTGAATTATAGAGTGACCTAATCCTTTGGGCAGGTTATAAATTCGCAAGGAGCTTTCCAATATACATTCTCTCCTTTCCGGATAGAAATGAAGAGGATATTTATTTGCAAAGTTTTTCTTCAAATACTTTTGCGCCATTTGATTGGTTCTTGACCATATATCTTAAATTGAGTCATGTGTCTTAAATTGATTTTTTACGTTATCCTAAATTACCAAGGGATGGGCTTGTACTACTACATAGTAGTAGTATCGATTATGAGAGTATTTTTCTGAGTGCTTCATCTATTTCTATGCATAGAATATAAAGCGCGTTTATTAAATGTGGAAGTATATACATTAATAAGGTAAAAATGACTAATGTTGAAATTTTGCAGCATCGATTTAGCGAGAATATTAACATTGATGATGTGTTTAAATGATCATGTCATAGGCTAGACTGGGAGCTACAATTTTTATACTAACTATTTATCGCTCACGTTTATACCATACTTTAGCAAGAATTTTCTCCAAAGACCCCCTCAAGACTGTCGAGCTCAAATTTGTTCGTTTTTTTATTTACAAACTGCAAATCACAATATTTTGTTTGCGTTATACATTTTGTGATTTTGGCGTCGGTTTTATGTGTCTAAAAGAGTGGTACTTCTAATTTGTTTCAAGATTGATTAACTGTATTAATAAATACCACTGATTTACGAAACATTCACGAAACACTGGATTAAAATATACACAGTGTGAGTTGAAGGATTTTGAAACGCACAAATTAAAGTTCCTTGAGAGTCACAGTTGCATGGCGATATCGTCGCAAGTTGACAGTGTGATGGTCTTTATTGGTACCCAAGGACTGGCTATCGTGAAGCGTACGAATACACACATTGTCTGAACTACTTTACTGGTGGCTTATGCATGGGAATGGTGTACCCGTCTGTCTACAGCTATCCAATACACATGAATGGTGCAGTGCCGGTATGGCGTTAGTAGGACCAGGAGCTACGATGGTGTTTGCTTGGGGGGCTGTACCGGTAGTTTGACTGTCTCTCCTCCTTCTCTCCACCATAAGCTTAGTGTAACTCTCATTCCTCTCAACCTCCATTCGCCATGACATACAGCACTCATCGGACTCGCCGTGCCTCACTCATAAGCATATACTTCGAAGTACTGTACTGTACATACATGCATCATGGTGGTTTGCACCAACATAAAATTAACATCAAATCTTGTCCAGTCATTCGTATTCTTGGCATATGTTGCCACTTGTATCATCCAAGCCTCTGTCTCGGATGATGGTTGTTGTTCTGCCGCGTCCGCATAAGTGCGTCGTGTGCCCTTGGAAATGACCGAGGGCAAACCGCACCTACATGGGATAGTGAGATCCGTCTTGTTTCGACGTGTGGTCGACATCAACGACTGGTTAGTACAAAAGTTAATACCAGTCAGTTTGCATTGTGAGTCTAATCACCGTTGTGTTTGCTGTGCTGGTCGGCGGAACGTCGACAGTGCGGGGTGCGGAACAATGAATTCTTTAGAGCGTCGTATCGACTATGCAATGAGTGATACGGAAGCTGAGCTGTCAAGCCGCAAGTCTCGTTCGCCGGAGCGGGAAGAAGACCTACAGCAGGCTCCACGAGGGCATGAAGGTCGCGGACGTCTCCGCGGGCCTATCGGCTTTCTTAAAAAAACCCAACCTCAGGCCATTGACCGGATCGGGTTGGCACCACAAGGCAGTGGCCCAAGATGGGAGCATCCGCTGCACCGGCAATGGCAGCGAGAGTACCGTTACGATCCGAGGAACCAGCTGCCGGGCAAGCAGCTGAGGATGTAGACATGGGGTTCGACGATGCCGTGACGGTACTCAACGCGCCGGCGTTGCACAACCATCGTCGTTCAAGGAATCAACGAATGCCGAATACCAGCGATATACCTTGCAAATTATGGCATTGCAATCAACGGGCGAACGTCCATTTTTGATGTCAGTCGGTGCGTGTATGGACCTGTTTTCAAAGCGACGCATCGCTATGCTTGACTTTGGGAAGTCACATGGCGATGTGACAGAAGACAAGTGGGTGGCCTGGTTCATAGAGGCCCACGATGAAGAACCCGTTGAGTGCTGACGAAGCGCCTTCAAGTGGCCGTACAGTTCGACACCAATATCCTCGGCGCCGACAGTCGAGTGAGTCGAATGCTCGACAATTTGATGAAAGCCCTCGAGGCGGACGGCCAAGAGTGGGTGCTCCATCAGGAAGGGAAGTTAGTGGTGGGAATCATCAGCAAAGCGATCAAGCCAGCACCACTCCAGCTAACCATGACGAAGCAGCTGCAACTACAGCGGAAAAAAGTGTTCAAGTCAGAAGAATTTCGCTACGTCAAGTGGCTGCGGCAATTCGCCATTGGGTACCAGCTGTATGGCAGCATGGACGAAGAAAAACCTTCGAAGCCGCCGGCAGAGGAGCCTCGGAAGGAAAACACGCGGCCTCATCCACGTTTCAGCCCGGTCCATGAAGAAAAGCAGCCCAGTGGCACGTCGGTCGCGCCTCCTACTTGGCGTGCTCATAAAAGAGACGAGCCGCCAGAGCGACCCAAGCCAAAGTGCCTGAAATGTCAGTCGACGGCACACCGAGTGCGGGAACACCCTGGCATTACAGATGTCGAGGTTGATGGACGACTTCCATCAGGCGCGCCGTCGGTCGGTGAACTTCGTGTCGAGCACGAAGCCAGCGAACAGCATGGAGTGTCAAGCGTCGATCGAGGACGTTCTCACACTTCCTCAAGGGTTGCTTGACTCTGGGTCCGAGGAGACGTTGGTGTTGGAAGGCCTCCTCGTGGCGCTGGAGCGTCTTGGTGCAAGTCTCAACGTTGAGATAAAGCCAAGACTTATGTTGAAGCCGTACGGAGAGACAACCAAGCCTCTCCATGTGACGCGGCAAGTGCAGTGGTGACGTTGGAGACATCAATCAGCCCACTGGTTTTGCGTGGACTTCGAGCGAGGTCGACTGGTTTTGCGTGGACTTCGAGCGAGATCGACGTTCTCACTGGACGTCCCCTTATGGAGCGACTGGGGATTTCAGTCGACGACATGCTTGTCGACGCTTTGAAGCAGCGTCGAGTCTGGGATATGGACGAAGCGGGAGATGCCGACCAGACGTCGGCGAATGTGAACCGGCTGCACGAGGCGTTCCAGGAAGACCCCAAAGACGCATTGTACGTCGAGGGCGTGGCGTGTTCCACTCCAGCAATGGAGAAGCCCGCCGACCAAGACGGCGAAATAAAGCGCATTCTCGACGGCAAGATTGCCGAGGTCATCCAGCTTGGCCTCTCCCCTGCGCATGAAGGCGAACTCCGGCGTATTTTGGATGACCACGCCGATGTCTTTCGCCTGGAGTTTGGGCAAGACTTGCCGGTGGATGTCGAGCCGTTGAAAGTACGGTTGAAGGAAGGAGCGGTGCCCGTGAAGTGTGCGTTGCGCCGGTACCCGCCGGCCCATATGGAGTATTTGAAACAGCATGTGGAAGAGCTCGAGGCCGCAGGCCTCGTCTACCGCAACAACCGTGCGACATGGGCAGCAGCGCCGCGGATTGTGGCCAAGAAAGCCCCTGGCGAATATCGAATGACCATCGACTCTCGCCCGGTCAACGCATGGACGATCCCCATGCCCTGGCCGATACCGAACCTGGACGCCGCGATGGCGACGTTGGTCGGCATCAACATGTTTTTCACGTTGGACTGGCTGAAGGGGTATTGACAGTTGCCACTGCACCCATCCTGCCAGATGTGGTACTCGTTCATGACACCGTTCGGTGTCTACATGCCAACCAGAATCCTCATGGGACAGACGGACGCCGTAGCCTATTGCCAGTCCGTGGTGAACCAGATGTTCGACGAACTGTTGTAAGCCGGGGTGCTGGGTTGGTTGGACGATCTGCTGGGGTACGCAGACAGCTCGGACAAGCTGTTTGTGTTCTTGGACACGGTGCTGTCCACCTGCGCAAAGTTCCGCCTCAAGCTGCATCCGAAGAAGTGTAATTTCTTCTTGAAGGAAGCCACGTGGTGCGGGAAAGTGATTTCCACCAAAGGGATCTCCCATTCTCCTGATCGAGTTCAGGGCCTGTGTGCACTGGACACGCCAACATCTGGCGCCAATCTGCAACAATTGACAAATTGGATGCTAGTCGGAACCGATTGATCCGCTGCGGGGCCTGCTGGACGTGGCGGCGAAGGCCGCTGGTGAGTCGAAGAAGACGGCGCTGGCGCGAATCAAGTTGACTGCCGTCGGGTGGGCGTCCGAACACGTTGCGGAAAATGGTGCCGCTGTCGCATCCATCTGCAGATAAGATCATCTGCCTTTACACCGATGCCAGCCACACGCATTGGGGTGCCGCCTGCACGCATATCCCGCCCGAAGTTACCCGTGGATCAACAACGGAACGAGCGTTGGCATTTTTGAGTGGTGGGTTTGGCGGGGCAAGTGCCCGGTGGCCGACGGTCGAAAAGGAAGCGTTTGCGATCGTCGAGTCGTGCAAACGACTGGAGTACCTGCTGCTCCGGCACCAGGGATTGAGGCTATTCACTGACCACCGCAATTTTCTGTACAGTGTACACCTTTAACCCGCTGGGTTACAACAGCAACATGGTCTCGTACCAAGCCCACAAGCTCGAACAGTGGGCTATGGTGATGGTGACCTTCCCCTGCACCGTCGGGCATGTGGCGGGGGAAGCGAACGTATCGGCGGAATTGCTCAGCGGTGGCGTGGCGTTCTATTTCCTGCGGCAGTGGCGAGAGTGCGACAACTGGTTGTTGTCTCGCCCCTACAAGACAAGGATTTCGCCTGGAAAATACTGGGAATACAGAAGGCAACCTGGAAAGCTGCCGGCGAAGACGTCACCAATGTGACATGGAGCGTCAGCGACAGGTGCTACGTGTCCGTCGCTGGGAAAATTCGGATTCCCGAGACCGCTGTGGATCTGCATCATTGCCCACCAAGGCGCGGCCGGTCACAGCGGAGTGGACGTGACAACCCAAGGCGTATTCGAGCAATTTGAGTGTCGAACCGCAAAGGAAGACCTGAAGACCTTTGTGGGCAGTTGATTGGACTGCCTGTGTGTTGATGGCACGATGGTACCGAGGCCCTGGGGCGTTGCCCAATGAGCTCATCCACTTCGACTGGCTCCAACTGCCTCCACACGCGAATGGCTGGAAATTTGTGATTGTCGTCAAGGACGACATGAGTGGGGGTTGTCGTTGGTTCCCTTCGGTAACGGCCGACGCGGAAAGCACGGCGAACGCGATGATGGATTGGTTTGCGACAGATGGCTCTGTGTCGACATGGATTTCCGATGGCGGAACCCATTTCAAGAACGAAGTCGTGGGCAAGATCAAGAGGACGATCGGTGCCCATCACCACATCAAAACGCCGTACACGCCGTGGGCGAACGGCACGGTGGAAGTCGTTAATCAACTTATCCTGCGAGGGCTTCGTCGGAACGAATGGCACCGTGTGTTCGCCCTGGTACAGAGCGCATTGAACCACCAGCCAGGGGACCGGCGGTGTGACTCCAGTGACGGCGTTCCAAGTCTTGCCCTCTTTAACGCCTTAAGTGGGTTCGCACACCCAAGGACAAAGGAAGTACTCACGGCTCTCGAAGGCGCGTCAGAAGCACATGGACGCGCTGCGAAAAGCCATGGATAATATGCTCCGCGATGTAGCAGTTCGAAGCGAGAAGTTGCGGCAACAGGCGCGAGGCCGCCGCGAGAATAATGCGCATGTGCGCTTGGCGAAGTTTGCGCTGGGCGATTTTGTGCTTTTGGGAAAAAGCATCAAATTCCCGACCAAGTTGGCACTCAACTCGAAAGGCCCGTACCGCGTATCGCGGGTCGACTCGGACTATGTGATGGAAGTCCAACAGCTTGTGGAGACGTTTGCTACATCGGTCCACCATGCCAGCCGGCTGAAGTTTTTCAGCGACGCCGCATTGGACGTCACCGATGCCCTGGTGGACTATGCCGCGTTTGGTGACGAAGGATTCTTCGTCGAAGAACGTTTGGGCGCTTGCCGCAGCGCCGAAGGAAATTTTGAAGTGCGCGTCAAATGGAAAGGTCTGGACGAAGAAGAAGCTTCGAGTCAGCCCTCCAACTCTATGAAGACATTGCGGTCGTTCTGCGCCGCTGGATCGTGAAGAATGCCAGCGACGGCGTCGTCAAGGCAATGCGCGACGACTTAGAGGCGACCCTGGGCCATCCTCTGTAGGGGGACGTGTTCTGCCGCGTCCGCAGAAGTGCCTCGTGTGCCCTTGGAAATGGCCGAGGGCAAACCGCACCTACATGGGATGGTGAGATTCGTCTGGTTTCAACGCGTGACGACATCGACGACTGGTTAGTATAAAAGTTAATACCAGTCAGTTTGCATTGTGAGTCTAACCACCGTTGTGGTTGCTGTGCTGGTCGACGAAACGTCGACAGAGCGGGGTGCGGAACAGTTGTCGTCATGTTGGCAACACGACAACTTCGTCGAATTGAGTCGTGGCTCATTTGAGGTGTCCAGTAGGTTCAGCCACTGAAAAGGACCTTGTCAACATACAGTCCTTGAGTTCGTCTTACTATAGTGCATGTGAGGTTCTACTCGTGTTGCATTTTCATGACGTGCATCTCAACAGTACTTTGGTTAGTAGTAAAAGTAGTATATACTAGACATTGTAACGTTTCGTATTTGTTTCGTAAATAGCAACAGTATTTACCGGTAGCTCGCAATAGTTGTGGCACTATCCGTTCTACATGTTCGAATAGGTGTATATATACCACAGTCCTTGTGCTTGGGCCTGGGAGTACTGCGGCCACAGCTAGCAGAGGTACCCCAGCACATCATTTCTTTGATATAAAGCTTGCATATAAGGAATTGGCATTTTGGATTGGACACAAAGCATGCCGAATAATGTCCAATGCGTCTGGAGGCTGCCGGAAATGGCGAACGTAGCCATCCTCGGCGACATAAGCGATGATGAACGTACTGTATGTCTAGATGAAGGGGACGGGTTTTGGTGCAAGGCGACTTTGTATTCGATTCCGCTGTTCAAAAGGTAGTGTTATTGTCATCTTGAGCTATAATTTATACCATACATTAGTGCTCTTTCGAAGATTTGTTGAGTTAGAGTTTGAAAGTCAAACATGTCGCAGCGAAGTGAAATTCACGTAAAATATTTTGGCTCTTTCGAAGAGGCAACCTGGGAAGAACGGACTCAATAGCTTAAAAGCGCGCAATCAGATCTGAACAACGGACGAACTTACTGAATGCGTGTCGTTTTGCATTCATTTTGAAGCTGACAGCTGTGCAACCTTGCGCTACAGTACATACTACAGGCACAGTACTATTGTGCTCTTTAATCCAATCACATGCTTTTTCTAATATCACATTTTTAACCAATCATATGCAAGATTCCTTTACCGGAAAAACGGTCCTGGCAGAAATGCAACTCGGCTCGACCTTGCAATTAGTATTTCACATTTTCAACTAATCATACTCAAGATATTTTACTGGAATAGAAACCCTCGTAGAAATGCAACTCGTTTATTCAAATAAAAAACAATTGCAGATTTACAATGTTGGAAGAAGTAGTGCTCCATAAGTCGGATGGTTTGTTCTACTGTCCAAGGTGCACCGTGACTTACGCCAACTAGCGCGCATTCCGAGCCCACTGCAAAATCAAGCATGGCTTGAAGGTGACCCTCTTCAAAAAGAAGTCAATCGACAAGAAGAAGGCCAAGGCACGACAACGCAAACAGCAGTGAAAGGCAACGCGCGAAGCGTTGCAAGCGATGGTTGACAAAGCGGTCCGTCTAAACAGCGAGCACCAATTACAGCTGCCGTCGCCCGCGTCCGTGGGGCTTACCAAGCAGCGAATCCAAACGTGAAGATCGAGGATTCGACGGTTCCTGGTGCTGGTCGAGGATCGGTTGCCAGTGTGGATTTGTCTGCTACTGACATTTGCACCGTCTATGACGAGGAAAAGGTGTACGAAGAGCCAAGGGACCATGAGTACGCGTATCAGCGTGACAACGAAATCGTGGCTCAAGGTCCCAGTTACCGGCCGTGGACTTGGCTCCTTCGTCAATCGTGAAGCTCGCGGGAGGTCGGGGTGTCTGAAGAATTGCCATCCTCCCTCAACGGCGTCCTCGAAAGCCGCATCCGCCTTCCGTATCACCCAAAGCTTTTTACTACGGGCTCTGCCCCACTCTTTGATGTGTTTGCATCACTGCCGCGCCTACCATCCTAAGCCTCGTTCGGCTCTGCCACTCACGCCAGTTGCCGTCGAGCTGGCCTCGCTGCCAGCCAACTACGGGTCTCCCGCTGATGCAGGCGATCTTGACTTCGCTGAAGTCTCATCCAACGAGATTCTCGTCACTGATCGCCTACCACTCTACCCACCGCGACCATTATTTCACATCCCAGCCAACCCAACCAAAGTGGTTCTTCCACTGTTCCCCCCAGTGCCTTCTCGGTCACTCGCAGTGATGTTCTCACCACCGCGTCGATAACGCCGATCAAAGTAGTCTGCAATTCCCCACCCCGATGTGTGGACGGTATCCGTCCCCATCCACCCTTCCAAGTCATCAAGGGCAATGGCTTTTTTGCCCTACACGCAGATCTCCGCTACTGCTAGCATGATGCCGGTGACCCTGCTCTACCGAAGGCTGGCCTATGGTTCTACCAACTTCCCCGCTCTACGTGAACATTGAATCGTTGATTCCGGGGCATCCACCTCATGCACCCCCAACCGCGATTATTTCTCGCGCTACGTTCCATGTGCGTTGTCTTTGACAGCCGGGAACGGTGCCACACTCCCAGTTGTCGGTTATGGTGCCATCTCGAAGCTAGTGGGCATGTCGTCCCGCGACCAAGTCGATGACATCCGTCCTTGCACTTTGCGTCTCGATGTCGGGCTCCACTACAGTTCAACCTGTTCTCCGTCCGCCAAGCGTCGGACGACAACATCACATTCCGGTTTCCGGCTCGTGACATGTGTGAGATCATCACCTACTCTGGAGACGTGCTTAATGCATCCAACAACGCCATTGGAATTTATTCGTTCCCTGCCCAACCCAAGTTCATGTCCACCGATCCGCACCGTGGGGAGTCTCTCCACATTTCGGACTCGACCCGTTTCCGTGTCATGATGGCCTCGTTCGAAACCGCTCTGCGGACCTTTTCGACGAAATACAGTTGATTTTCTACTTTTATCGATCAATTGCATATGTTTGCTTACTCGTCGGTGTTGCGCTATGCGCCTATCTCCCATCGACCATCTATGGTCCCTAAGTCAACTCCACCGCCTCCTCTAACTACAGACTATGTCTACTTGAGTGTTGCCCATGCTATGATTCGCACACCAACAACTACCCGAGTCCACGATGCTATTGATGTTCCAACTGACTGTCTCGTCAGCGTCGTAGGTGACTCAGAACTTTCCACAACTAGTCTTGCGCGCATTTGGCACCGTCGTCTCGGTCATCCTGGCATTCATGCCTTCGAACAAATGACAAAGACAAACCCCGAGCTTATGCTCTTCAAGGCCAAGCACCTTCGTGGTCACTTATGCGAGACTTGTCATTACGCCAAGTCCAAGCGTAGTCCTTATGACTCCTCAGCGGACTTCCGCGCTACTTCCTACCTTGCCCTTGTGCACATGGACATCTGGGGACCCAGTCCGATTCTGTCGGCAGGTGGCTCTGCCTACTTCGTAGTCTTCATTGACGATTATTCCTGCTTTAGGTGGGCATATCCAATGCGTTATCGCAAAGATCTCTATGAGACATATGAACTATTTCCTACGGATGCCATGTATATTTTTGAACATGACGTATGCGAGTTGCACCCCACGGATATTGGCACTCTCAAAAGTGACAACGCCAAAGAATTCGAGAAGCTTGACCGCCTCATCCGGCCAAAGTACAACACTCCGGCGGCGTTTTCCAACGCCTCCTCGCCTCAGCAAAACGCTGTCGCGGAACGCCGTATCGGCATTGTTGTTCGGAAGATGCGATCTATGTTCATCGAAGGAGCTCTCCCCAAGTTCTTATGGGCTCTTGCCCTCGACTATACCTCATGGCTTGTTGACATCGCTCCGTCGTCGTCGAACAAGGGTTTCTCACCTTACCGCGTTGTATTCAACCGACACGCCTCGCTGGGTCACATCAAAACCTTTGGTTGCACAGCGTTTGTGCACTTTCAACGTGCCGCGCAAATTTCCAAGCTCGATCCCCCTGCCGTCAACACAATGTTCCTGGGTCTCCCACACAACCGCAAGAGTTATACTCTATTGAACTTGCATTCTCATGCATTCATCTAAACTCGTGACGTTATCTTCTGGGAGTCCGAATTTCCCGCGGTGAACTCTGTTGATGCTGCAGTTTCATATCGTAGACGGCTTTCTTCAAATCCTACTTTCGTTCCATCCTTGGAACCCAATGCTCCATTGCCCTCACTACACTCACTTATTGAGAACCGGCCTACTCCCATCATTTATGACAAGCATCTGGCTCCATCACCGCCCACCCTCTCAGCACGACCCACGTCGTCTCGACCCATCATGGCACTTACTGTAGCTCTACCTGACCGTCTTTTCGACGTGTTCTCTACCTTTCCGTTGACAAGTCCGGTCTAAGTCCCTCGCCGCCTACAGCAACGAACCACATTATACACTTACGGCTTTGCCGTTGCCTTCCTCACAACCAGTGAACTCTGTTCCACCCTCAGCCCCTATGGGACCATTGTTCATCTACGCTCTACTCGCCGACCGCGTCGACAACAGCGACCCCAAAGACTGGGGTGATGCCATGTCACGCCCTGACCATGCCCAATGGCTTCTAGCCGCCAAATCCGAATACGAGTGTTTACTCTCCAACCGAATTATATGCTTGTCAAACGTCGTCATGATGAGACGGTTCTACCGTGTCTCTGGGTCTTTCGACTCAAGGCTGATGGCACTTACAAGGCCCGACTTGTCGTCCAAGGGTTCATGCAACAAGAAAACATCGACTACACGGACATTTTTGCACCTGTTGTTCGACTTGAAGTTCTTCGCTTCCTGTTTGCCTTAGTGGCCATCCATGATTTGGAATGCGAGCAAATGGACGTCAAAACCACCTTTCTCAATGGCAAAATTGACTGCGTTATTCGCGTGGAACAGCCTCCTGGCTCCCTGATTGATTCTGCCTCTAGGCGCGACTATGTCTGCCTGCTTCAAAAGAGTCTTTATGGACTCAAACAAGCCCCTCACCTATGGTACTGGACTTTTATCACTTATATGGCTTCCTTTGGCTTTGCCCGCCTTCACAAAGACCGCTGTGTCTTCTCAAAGCCCGAGATGATGGTTTTACCATAGTTAGTCTCTAAATCGACGATCTTTTGATCATTACTCCTACCAAGGCTCTTGCTGCCGCTCTCAAGGAGTCACTATCACTACTTTTCCAGATGAAGGACTTAGGTCCTGTACGAGATATTCTCGGCTGGGAAATCGTCCGTGACCGTTCCAAACGAACTATGTTGATCCATCAATCTCGTTACTATTCTACAGTGTTTGATCGCTTCGACATGTCTACGTCAAAGCCCGTCGCCACTCATTTTAAGTGCTCTACGCCCTATCCAAGACCCAGTGTGCTAGTTCATCTGAGGATATTTATTTTATTCAAACAAAGCCGTATCGGTCAATCGTCGGCAGTATTATGTACTTAGCCATGGGCTCTCGCCCAGACTTGGCTTATGCACTTCAATAACTCTCGCAGTTTCTGCACAACCCGGGTCTTGCCCATTGGCGTGCTGCCAAGCGCATTCTACGCTATCTCAGATACACCTCTCTTCATGGGCTTATGCTCGGTGGATGAGACTATGTCTCCAAGCCATTTCTGTCCGGCTATGTGGACGCCAACTACGCCATGTGCCCAGACACTCGTCGATGTGCCAGTGGATTTCTGATCATGTCCTTTAAAAACCTCATCTCTTGGCTGTCCAAGCAGCAAGACATAGTGACTATACCCACCACCGAGGCCGAGTTTGTGCTCTTACCCTTTGCATTCAAGAATGTTTATACATTCGGCAACTCGCTGCCGAACTACATCATACTAGTGATCAACCGATTTCGGTTCACGAGGACAACCAATCTGCCATCAACATCGCCCAAAGTGTTAAACATCATGGGCGCTCCAAGCACATTGATGAGCGTTTCATGTTTGTTCGGGATCTCGTTGAGAACAAGGAGTTTATTCTCCATTATTGTCCAACCAAAGAACAACTTGCTGACTTTTTTACAAAGGCCCACCCGAAACCTGCGCTTCGCAGGTTCTGCAACACTCTGCATACTACGTACTGCAGTATCTAAAAGCTTGGCGGCTTCCTAAGTGATCGCGTCTCTTAGTTGAACAATGCCTTTGGCACTCCTGCCTTGTGGCCCCTGCCCCATACAGTATTTATGCCTCGTGGCTTCCACGGTAACTGTACCTACTGATCTCCACCCTTAAACGAAACGGAGCAAATTATGCAATTCACACAGTAAATTAACTCTTACAGGTATTTGCAGGCTGTCTGAACCAACCATTTATACATGCATTCAAGCGTTGGGCGTCTCCAAGTCAGAGCTGAGTATGCCAGTGCGTCTCCAGCAGTTTCTCACAGTGGAAATGATGTCATCCATTTCAATGCCAAACGATTCAAGTGTTCGAATTTTGAAAAAGTCATCACCTTCCGATATGGTTGGATAATATAAAGTTTCAAAAATTATCAAGTTTACCCCGTTTCGTTTAAGGGGGGAGATCAGTAGTGTTCTCCACCTCGCATTTATTTGCCTCGGCTATTTTAGCCACCATTTTATTCACGCCTTCATTTCGCCCCCCGACCTTGTTGGGGCTTGCTCACTTCTATGTCTGCTCCTGACGCTGATGGTCATTACCGCTCTTTGAGCCACACCAATTTTACTTTCGTTGTCTTATTCACTTTGCGCTGTTTACCTTTGCATGTATGCATCCTTGGGCTTTTGCCTCGCTTTATGAGCAACCTGGCACTTCTATGCCACTACAACTTCTTGTTTGCACTACACTACCTTGTTCTCTGGGTGGCTTGTGTATCGGGTTGCTTTTTGGCACTTTTAGTCT